CGTGCTGAGTGTGGCAAGGTCTTTCGTTATAAAGAAGGCCTTGAAAGTCATCAGAGAATTCATACTGGAGAGAAGCCTTATCAATGTTGTGAGTGTGGCAAGGTCTTCAGGTGTAAATCAAACCTCAGAAGTCATCACGGAATTCATACTGAAGAGAGACGTTATAAATGTAATGAGTGTCGCAGCACCTTTTGTCACAAAGGAGAGCTTGCAAACCATATGAGAATTCATACTGGAGAGAAACCTTACAAATGTAATGAGTGCAGCAAGGGTTTTAGTACAAAAACAAACCCTAAAAATCATCAGAGAATTCATTCTCAACAGAGATCATATAAACATAATAAGGGTTTCAAAACCTTACATCAGGCCTCACATCTAACAGAACATCAAGTAATCCAGTCATGAGAAAAACCATGTAAATGTGACACATGTGGGAAAGGTTTTGGTCAAAATGCACAACTTACAAAGCATTGGAGAATTCATAGTGAGGAGAAACCCTTCAAATTAAAGAGTGTTGAAAAGCGTTACCTCACATCTCAACCGTCACTACGCCTCAGGGAGTAGATACACAGGGGAAACCATATCAATATGATATATGTGGGAAGGTCATGATTCAAAATTGACACTTTAAATTCACAGGCGATTCATTGTGGGGAGAAACTATGGATGTGCTATGAATGTGGAAAAGCCTCACTTACTGTCAGATAACCATACTAGACAGAAATCAGAGAGATGTAATGAATGTCTCAGTGTCGTCAGTCAAAATTCATACCTCAGAGTCAACCAGCAGTATTGTAAATAAACTATGCTTCAATTAAAAAAGATCCTCCATGAATTCCTACTAGAGAGGACAGTTGCTAATATAATGTGTGCAGCAAGTCCTTCATTGTAGTTTGAAGCCTAACTTAGAGCCAGAGAATCCCTATTGGTGAGGAACATTAAGTAAGGGCTTTAGCAGGTGTGCACATCTTAAGCTTCATTGGAACAGCCGTCCTGGAGGGCAATCAGATACATGGGTTTAGTGTGACCAGACCTGTAGACAGGAGATTCATTCAGCAGAGAAGGCATTCTGGAGATCACAGAGGCCCTGAATGGGAAAAGTCCTTACTTGGGTTTCACCTCTCAGCAGTCACCAGGTAGTCCATACTGGACACAACGTTAGAGATGTTCTGAGTGTAGCAAAGCTTTGGGGTCATGCCTTAGAGCAGGGGCTTCACCAAACACATCTTACTTAAAAATGCAATGGAAATAGCAGTTTCATAATACTCCTCACTCATCACTAGAGATTAGAATATTTATCCTGGAGAGACCACACAAGAGTGTGGTAAGAAATTCAATCAAAGATTACAAGTTGGTCGACTTACTGGCATGATACCTTACAAATGTAATGGTGTGGCTAAGCCTTTAGTTTGAGTTCCGTTTCTTAGGCAACAGGAGGAAGTCCATGTTGAAGAACAGCCATGGTAACGTATGGTAGAAAATGTATGCAGTCTCACAGTCCACTAGACTTAAGAATATACAGTTTGGAGGGAGACCTCACTAAGCAGTATGTGTGCTAAGGCTTGTATCTGAAGATCAACTATGTGGAACACAAAGAATTTCAGTTGAAGAACAAGCTTTCAAACACAACGAATGTTGTAACGTTTTTCATCATGTCCCAACCGCTTTGGTATAATGAGAAAATCCTTACAGGTCAGAAAGTACACAGGTACACTGAGCATGGAAACACTTTTAAGAAACTGCCCTTAGGTTTCACCGAAGAACTCCTGTTCGGGGAATCCATCCTTACAAATGTCATGAATCTTGTGAATTTTTTGAGCAATAATTAAAACACAGCACCCGTCAGAGAATGCAAACTAGGAATAAATAAGTGTTTAGTTCTCTGAAATGCAGCAAACTGCAGAATCATAACAAGTCACAACAGGGTAAAACTGATGACATGATGTGTGTATAAGAGGCAGAAGGACATGTGGAAATGACCCATTATCTTCCATGTCTAAACAGTATTTCAGTTTCCTAGAAAGAAGTGCATTACTTTTCATGCCTCTCAACCTGAAGTTTAAAGTCTCTTGATTCCTACATTATAGGCCTTTGATTTTTCTCCCTGGGAAGGAATCAGTAAGATGAAGGGGCAAACTTCATCAGGCACGGCAACTCACGTCCAAGTTCCCAGGAAAAACAGCACTCTGAATTATCAGATTCAATATTGTGTGGATTAGCATCAGGGAGGGTCGGAGACTAATGTAAAACTGACTTGACTCAGCAGACGCGTGTTCAGGGTGCCCTTCTGTAGACAGACCACAGGGGGCTACAGCGCAGAAAGCTCCCCCCCACCCCCGGCCCATGAGCAGAGCAGCAGGGCGTCCAGGGACTGGCTCTTTCACAGGAGGAGCGTGGCCGGTTATGTGGTGGGAACAAGGCTCGGGGAAAGCTGGTCACGTTCTCCATCGTTTGGGAGTAGGTGGTGTAGATATGTATGTTTAGTGGAAAGTTCCTCTTACTTTTGGAATTTGAGGGGAGAGCAATTACCATGAGAGGAAAAGTTAATCAGAAGAGTCTGAGTGGCAGAGCAGTTTATTTCAGACTCCGAATAATGTGCAAAAATTGAAGAGAGTACATTTAAAGATCTAGTTGGTTTTATTGCATGATTTGTGAATTTAGCTGCACCCCATCTTCTACATAAAGAGGTGCTCCAAGGAGCTGTATGCTATGGGAAGCCTTTTCAGGCATAAACTGGGTGGGGTAGAAAGTTATTGGTAAAGAGAAAGGTTCTCTCAGGCAAGGCTACTTTGTTTAAGGGAAGGACAGAAGTCTTACCTTGTAGGTTACCTCTGGCGTTCAGGACACTTGACAGTGGTTGGTTTACTGTCGCGTTTCTTCAAGGGGTGAAACTACAATTAAGTCTTGTTTTGCTGTCTCATGGGTAAGTGACTCCACCTTGGGACTATTTTTTTTTTTGAAACACTCCCTAAAAGCTGCTCCTTAGTCCTGAATATTCAGCACATGAATGTATTTCTTCCTGAGGTTTTTTTCCCAGCCAAATCCATCTAATGACATGCACCTTCATTTATTTGCAGGGAAAATAGGAATATAGGAAACATATGAAAAATAGTAGAAATTTAAAAAATTCTATAATTTCACTTTTCTCCTTGGCCAACTCAGTACAATACTTAGAGAGGAACAATATTCCTGAGTTTTCTCTTAAAAATGAACCATACACAGTAGGAAGTTTTTGATAGATACACTGGGAATTTCATATATTATGCAAAAATAGTTTTTGTTGCTAATTTGCTTTTGTGGCCATTCACTGGATTGTGACGGACCACCAGCCAAAGGTTGGTTTGGTCATTTATAGTGGTATTAATGTTCAAGTATGAGAATGTTCTATAGTTCAGATTTCTAGGGGCACAGGCGAGACTTTCAAGTTCAAAAAATGATATGAAGAAACAAAGAATGGTGACGGGCTTGGTGTGTAAATGTGATTGCTAGGTGGGGGCTTAGGGGAGCATACCCACTTAGGGTTTGAACTTCCAGATGGTTAAAGTTGCTCAAAAGAGGAAGCCCTCAGGCTGTTTTGTCACCTTCATCACACAAGCCAAGTAGGAAGAGATTGTGGTGACGTTTAATACTTGTCAGTAGGGAAACAATGTTTGAAATGTTTGAAAAAAATCTTCCTTAGATATATGACCTAAGACTTTTACACTAGGTTGCTAAGAATTAGTGTCTGGGAATTTTTTTCTAGATAGTATAACTAAGCAATATACTAAAGAAGCAATTGTCAAAAGTGTGTTAAAATTTGAATTTTAAATTAGGGGATTAGACGGTATGTTACATGGTTACTTTTTTATTTCAATAAAATGTTTATAAAATTTTTTGAAACATTTTTTTCTTTTCCTTGTGTCTTTACTGTATTGTACAACAGGGAAGTATATAAATCAATGAGTTATTTTGGGTCTCTTGAGACGTGATAATGCTCATAAGGAAATGACTTGTAGAAAGAAGTTGCATTATAAATGTGAAGAAATATTTACCTCGGAGCTTCACTTCAGTCAAAGCACTGGAACCACAAAATCTTTTGTGGGAGTTGGTTGTAGTCAGGTGTTTGAAAATCAAGCTTCCCTTTTTATTAAATACATATAAATAACATAATGGCTCTATAGTAATTTATTGTGTGATTGTATCAATTCATTCAATGAATGCCTTGCTGCTGAACATTTTCTTTAAGAGGTAGTGATGTATGATGATAATATTGTGGTTGGACAACTTGCAAACATACTAAATCACTCTACTGTACACGTGAAAATGGTGCCTCCTACTGTATGCAAGTTGTGCAATCAAAGAAACACTGGCTATTATCTGCATTTTGAATTCAGATAATAGTTCTGTCGTACGAATGGAAGGAAGACACAAGGGGGGGGGCTCACATCAGAGTGTCTTTTGAATAGTCTGCCGCCACAACTCCCAGGGTGATCTCACTGTCCTGTTGGCGTTCCAATGAACCAAGGTGCTCCGATTAGCTCTGGACGCGGGGTGGAGGGGCCACAGCAGTCCATCTCCTGCGTCTACAGGAAGTTCAGCACAGACCGAAAAGTGAGAGACATGGACTTGCGCAACTCTGTGGGCCCAGGAGAACATGGAATTTGCTGTTACCCTGGATGGAAGGACAGACCAGAGGTGGACACCATGATTGTCAACTCTCTCCCTTCTGGGAGGATGCAAGCCACTTTCTCATCCTGTGAGAGCACACTGGCAGGAAGGGCTGTTTGCCCAGGCGGTGGTACCACAGCAACCCGCCCACGCTGGGTTGGTTACACTCTGGAAGTGCTTCAGGAGCTATTGCTGGAATTGCCCAAAGCCTTAGGGCTCCTGCTCCTTTAAGTAGGGACACTCTTGTTTCCCTAGGGTGACCTGTATATTAAGAGGCCATTCCCCACACGTGGGGTTACCTGCAGGGCTTTCTTTAGCCCGTCGCCCCATGGTTGCAACAGGGCTAGCCAGGGGCCTTCAGTCTGGACCTGATTCTTCCATGTCCAGGTGTCCTGTGGTCCCGAGTTCAACACCCTGGGGGCGCATAGTATTGAGACGTGCGCCATTATTGAGACATTGCAGGCATCCTGCACGGGCCCAACTCTGAGCCTCCGAATGGTCCCTTGCAGTAACTTTTCCAGTGGGCTCATACCTGTACGGCAAGGTTGTTCATTCAAAAGATGTGCCGCCTGCGGTAAGGCACTGTTCCAGCCTCGCCCTTGTGGTTGGAGAGCCCTCAGTTTGTCCTCTAATGGGTGATTGTACCGTTCAACCATTCCTGCTGCTTGGGGACTGTAAGGCACTTGCAATGTCCAGTTAATATCATTTTCCTTGGCCCATTCCTGGGTCTGTTGGGCAGTAAAAGGGGTCCCTCTGTCACTTTGTATTTCTGAGGGAGTCCCATAAAAGGCCCGTAAAACTTCCAGTGCTGTACTAGTGGTGTCTTGTGTAGCTCGGGGCACGTGCTGAGCAAAACCTAGACCAGTAGCGGTGTCCCCCGCTGTCAGCAGGTACCGCAAGCCCGTACTAGGAGCAAAGGGGCCTATGCAATCTATTTGCCATCCTGCAATGGCTGAATTCCCCGTGCAATCCTCCCCATCTGTTGGGGCCATGGCTGCCAGTGCGGGTGGTGCTTAGCACACCATGGGCACTGCCTCAAGGCATCCTTGGCTTCACTGTGGCTCAGGTGCTGGCCCCACCGTTCAGCTACCTGCCTCATTGTGTACGAGCCTACATTACCAAGTTTCTCGTGGTGCCAGGGACCTATGTCGGTCCCGGAACCATGGCCTGTACAGATTGGAGTTTGGCTAGTGCGTCAGCAGCAGCATCGCCCAGTGCCAATGCTGGGCGGTGCCCTGGTACATGGTAAACAGTATACTGACCTTCTTGGGCATTGTCCATAACTGTTTGCACATCTGTTGTCCCCACAGGGGTCGTTGCCCAATCATCCAGTCTTGCAGGGCCCATTGGGGTATCCACAGTGTGAGGCCTCGATACACAGCCCAACTATCCTT